AGACAACATAATTCTTTACAACATAATTTGTAATAGCAAAAGACTGGAAACATCTGAGATTGGCTGTATAAACTATAGTATAACCAAGCCACACAATGGTGTACCACGTAACTGTAAGAATGAGAAACAGCTCCATATACAGTTAGGGAGTGATCTCTGGAATATATTGAGTGGGAAAAGCCAGGTGGAAAAATTGTAGTTAATACACTACGATTTATCTGCAAGACGTGGGGAGATTAAATATGTATGCCTATTTAATTATATTACAAAACAGAAGGGTAAATCAACATCACTTTTAGAAAGGTTTACCTGTAGGGAAGGGGAGAACAAGAAGGGTAGAAGATAGACTTCTCTGCATATACCTTATTTTGCAGATTTGCTCTTAGAAGGATGTAAATATTTTGCATAATTATAAAACAAAATACAATTTAAGCAGCGATTCCTAAAAAAGCACAATAAAAGAAATAAATCTAACTGTATACTGAGTCAGCAAAACTACATCAAGAGGAATCATTTCACATGACTTTAGAACACACCGACTTGACTTGACATTCTAATGGGAGGTTCTCAAGGCATAGAACAGTCCCCCCAAAATCCTGAACTCTTTTTAGTCAACAAAATATTGATGGCGTTGTTAGTATGATCATCCTTCTGAGGCTATTGTGTATATTGTGGGATAAAGCAAATTAATAACTAAGTTGCTGCTTGGTGGACTCAGTTGGGTGAACGGAAGCAGTTGGTTTTTTTTAGCTCTCAGCAGCTCCACAGCTAGCCTGCAGGATGGTCTGAGCTGACATCTGCAGCAGAATCTTCATGATTCCAGAGATTTCTTCCTGTCTGTGGCAGGATCAGCAGCTCTTGGCAGTCCAGTGTTTTTCTGGGTGACTTTGGACTATATCCTTGGAAGAATAGACAAGAGTCTATTTCTTCCCCTTTCTAAACAATTCTATAACCATTTATGTTTAAACTAGCCAGGGAGGATTACGTTCATTAACATCTAAACCATGGCCTATTCAGAGGTGTTTGATTTTGCCAAATAAAATTGTTATGTGGAATCTCAACATAAAAATGGGTAAAAGCAGCACTACTCCTATTGAAGTACTGATATTTGGAAGGAATGGGAGGTGGGGAGAGGGCTGGGACCAGGCACACATGTGCCCACTGCCCGGGATGGTCGCTAAGGCACCTCTGAAGAGACCTGGGACTCTTGAAACCCAATCTGAAAGTCGATTTTAACATGCCCACCATGAATGATTAAACTTGCACATCGAGTTGTAGCAACTGTTTAAATGGGGTATCATGTTCCCCGGATGGTATGTGCAACCACAAGGTAGGCTGTAAAGAGATGAAAGCTGGTTTTCACAAGCCTCTCACAGAAAAGTAGGCATTGGTCTCAGCACTCCCAGGCCGGACGCTGCGATCGCTATCAGTGCGGCCCGCAGGTGGGGCTGAAACACTCAGTGTCCTGCCCACAGCGCACACAGCCCGTTTCCTGTTAGAGTCGTGGCCTGGCCACAACTTCTTGGCTCCTGACCCCCTTTCTCAGAGTAGCTTCTGCTCAGAAAGATGGCTTCCCCCAAACCCCGGCTCCCCTCCCTCAGAGGTGCACTCGTGCCAGGTTGATGAGCTATTTCCCCTGAGTATTTAAAGCTATGATTCAACTCGGTTTTGCCCTTGTCCCCGGTTCAGACAAGCATGTTGATGGCTGCAAGGAGGTGCACCCACTCTGAGCCTTGCTGACACTCCTCCGCAGCCAGCTGGTCAACCACTCAGCATCAACTCAGGATGAGCTCCTAGTACCTCTCAGGGCTCTTAACTCCCCCTACCTCAGCAGATGCCACAGTCACGTGTACACTTCCATCCTGTGGAGGATTTGAGTGCTATTCTCCCTCCATCCTTACCGTAGTAGCCTAGAAGAGCCCTCGTACTCTTTTAACCTCCTGAGAGCCAGTCCTAAGCAGCCCTGCTTCCTCTGTGCAAGACTGTTCTAGACCCTCCTAGTACAAGGTGCCTCCCCAGGAAAGTGCCTACAGCCTCCCACAACTTACCTCGTCTCCCTGCAACAGGCAATTCCAGAGAGGAGTCGGTACCCCTCTCTGCCCCAGCCTGGTCGCACTAGCTAATTGCATACCCAGGTCAAGTCCCTGGACTGACCCTGTCTCAGGTTCCTGGGTTTAGAATATGTGGGTAATAAGGTCTCTCTCTGCTTTACGAGAGTATAACTCGAATTTAATAAATGTTTCCAGCATATAATAGACATACATGGGTTGTTTCTTTATACATCTTAGACAGCTGGTTGTTCACTGATTCTCTGAAATGGACTCCACAGTGTAAGGACATTTGAAGTCATTGAAGGGAATGACATTATTCTATCAATAAAGGTTAGGTACTGGTCCTGATTGGAAATGCTTGGCATTTAAATTTTAAAATATGCACATGAGTTAACCGGCACGTGAAGACCTAATATTTGTGCTGGACATTGGGTGGCCTTGCGAGAGGGAATGGAATTCTTCTTTTGCTCCTGGATGGATTTTAAAGAAGGTAGGTACAAAGTAATTTGACATAAGAAAAGATAGATCTAAGCATTCATTTTGAATGACCCATATCTCATTTTAAAAGGTGGGAATCTATGTTGAGACTGAGGGATTGAAATTTATTTATTTATTTATTCTGTTTGCGGTACGCGGGCCTCTCACCGCTGTGGCCTCTCCCTTCGTGGAGCACAGGCTCCAGACGCGCAGGCCCAGCGGCCATGGCTCACGGGCCCAGCCGCTCCGCGGCATGTGGGATCTTCCCGGACCGGGGCACGAACCTGTGTCCCCTGCATCGGCAGGCGGACTCCCAACCACTGTGCCACCAGGGAAGCCCCTGAAATTTTAAACTAAGTGAAAAAGATGTCGAGATTTTTCAAAAATAAAGGCACGAGACCAATGGTTCATTAATGTATTTTAAAGCATATATTTACTGTATACATTTAACACATTTAATACAAAATACATTTAATGTATTTAAATCATACATAATAAAAAAGAAAAGCAGATCATTCTATTAGAGACTACGATGATAGCAATAAAATTTCTCACGACCATATATTTTCACATATAAATCTTCTTAGTAATTAAATTCCTTTACTTTTTTTAGCCATCCAACTAGCATGCAAAATTTTAAGTGCTACAAAAATTAGACCACTTTCTTATACTGAAAATCTGATGAAAATCTCATTTTTCTTTGATTTTCAGTAGTATCTACCACAGCTGTTTTATTATTTAAGTTGCCTGATTTTTTTTTTTTCATTTTATATTGGAGTATAGTTGATTTACAATGTTGTGTTAGTTTCAGGTGTACAGCAAAGTGATTCACCTGATCCATTCTTTTTTAGACCCTTTTCCCATATAGGTTATTACAGAACATTCAGTAGAGTTCCCTGTGCTATACGGTAGGTCCTTGTTGATTATCTACTTTATATATAGCAGTACCACAGCTGTTTCAAACAGTCTCTGCTTTAAATTTTTCTGGAACATTCAGGCCACACCCATATCTTCTAACCAGCCTTCCAAACTTACCCAGCTCTTTCCTTTCTCTGTAAGGCTGCTATTTATCACTCACTCAGTGATTTTCATGAACAGACCTCTGAGGCCGTCAAGGCGGCCCAGTACTAAGGAGACAGATATATGTCTTCCAATGTGAAAAGTTGCAGACGTCCAATGCAGATATGCTGATGTGCTGCTCCTCTATGCTTCTCTGTAAGAATGAATCGCCTCAAGTCAAAACTGCCTTCCTTTCCAGATCTTGTTCTCTTTCCACCGCTAAATAACTGACCTAGGTGATAATTAATAACAATAACAAACGTAGCAATACCAACACTTATTGAGTGTTAAGTTTGTGTCAAGAACTGTTGTAAGAGCTTCATTTGTATTTATTCACTTAGTCCCCCTGTACAGTTCTTATAAATTCTAATGTTACAGATGAGGAGACCACATCACAGATGACTTAGAAGAGTTTCCGGAGATCACAGAGAAAGCAGTAAACCCGGGATTTGAGCTCAAGTGTCTTGGCTGCCATGCTGCCTCCACCCAAAGGGCATTTAAAATCTGTCGTCTTTTAAAAATCAAGCAAGTAACCATCCTTTTCTGGCTGTTGAATAACTCATCTGATCTGGCACCCATCCTGTGTCTAAACCTTTATGCAGAATCAACAAATGTTTTAGACCATTTTTTGGAAAGACCCAGAAAATTATTTGAATTAAAATTTGTGTCTGGCATGAAAGATTAAAAAGTTGTTTTGAGTTCCTTTTAAGAAGTTCCCACAAATAGGTCCAATTAAGCAAGCCCTCTGCAGCATCTTAGTGGGGTTTCAAGAACTGTAGGCCTGCAGCTGTAGCCAGGATACATTAATGCACGTGCTCTGAGGCTGAGGCCCTGTTACAGCAGCTCACACCTCACTCCCTGCTCTGCTCACAGCCCTGTCGGTTCTCCCAGACCCCCGCCCTACACCCCGCATCCCAGGCACTGTCAGAGGTGTTTAGAGGTAGGGAGCTATTGTGGGGTCATGAAGGCACCATTCCAGTTCCTGTGTCACCTACTGGCTCATAGAGAAATGCCACTTTGTGAACTTAAAATCCTTCAGTTCAATTGTTAGCATTAAAAATCTCTTAAAGACGTGTCCTTATTTTAAATCCTAAGTTACTCTGCACCGTGTGCAGTCTCACAGTTGCTGAATATAGGATTGAGCAGAGTGCCTGCATCCAGTTATGGAAGAGGAAGAAACAGGAGACCCATTTCTGTTGAATTCCAGGGTCTTCTGAGAGCCCACGACTATAGCTCAATGTTTAGTCTTCTCCCCGGCAACCTAATGACAAGTTTCATCTTTAGACTGTGACTAGGACATTCACAGAGTAGAGTTAAATATTTGAATAATTTCCTTCATTATCAACAGGCTCATACACTCAGTCACTCCCCAGAGTGTCAAGAGTTCTTTCTTCTGCTCAGCTTTTCTGAAGATCAGGGCTGCGAAAAAACAGGCAACACTTCTGCTTCGTCTCTATGTGGTTTGACTGCTTTTGCGGGCATCAGATAAAGAAGATTCTTCCAGAACCTTGAGTTATAAGACAGAGATTTATCGGCCTGCCACTTCAGAACTCTGTGGGATTTCAAAAGCTTCAGTGATTGAGGCAGGAATGTGAAGTCACCGACTGGTGTAAATTCAATTAAGATGATTTTAATTTTCCTTTCCACAAGTGCTTCATGGAGTCCACTTTCAAGTTCATACCTGACTTCATTAGACATATAACTTTTACTCAGGACAATTATCAGTCTTCGGCTTTTCTCTATCAATGAATGGATTTCATCAACAACAGCTGAAAATACGAGAGGTGGCAGATTAAGAAAACTGAAAGGGTGGGCATGAGATTAAAATCATTTTGCACAGGGCTTCCCTGGTGGCGCAGTGGTTGAGAGTCCGCCTGCCGATGCAGGGGACACGGGTTCATGCCCCGGTCCGGGAAGATCCCACGTGCCGCGGAGCGGCTGGGCCCGTGAACCATGGCCGCTGAGCCTGCGCGTCCGGAGCCTGTGCTCCGCAACGGGAGAGGCCACAACAGTGAGAGGCCCGCGTACCGCAAAAAGAAAAAACAAAAAAACATTTTGCACAGTCCTAGTTTGTATTAACTCAAATTCACTAGTAAGTTTTTCTTTGAGATAAACCATTAATTCTCAACTTTATATGCCTATTAAAAAAGTAATCATCTACACAACGATATAATGAACACCTACTTGGCACTTTCTCTGTGCCATACCTTCTTCTAAATATTTTATGTATATTAACTCATTTAATCATCATAATGACCCTATGAAGAAAGTATTGTGATCACCCCCATTTTACGGATGAAGAAGCCAAAGCAGAGTGGTTAAGTAACTTGCCCAGAGTCACGTGGCTAGTAAATGGCAGAACCAGAATCTGAACCCAAGTGGTCTGGCTCTGGAGTGCATGTTCCTAAACATTCCACTATCTTGCCTCTTTACATGGATGGTGGAACATGGTAAAATTTGAATTAAAAGATTTTTTTTTAAAATCCTGCCATTATTCTAGACCACAGGTTGATAATTTTTTTCCTGTAAAGGGGCCAGGTGGTAAATATTTTAGCCTTTGCGGTCTTTGTCACAGCTACTCAACTCTGCTGTTGTAACTCAAAAGCAGCCATAGACCACACATGAACATATGTGTAGAGCTGCTTCAATAAGAGTGGCAGGCAGGACCTGACCTGTGGGTGGAAGACTGCCAACCTCTGTTCTAGACCTCTAGCCCTCCTCAGATAGAGTTCTTAGCCCAAACTAATCATATCGAATATACAAACATTCTTTATTTTTATTTAAAAACTAAGAAGAAATCTGTTTTTAAAATGACTCCTAGAAAAATAATGGAAATATTGGGTTGGCCCAAAAGTTCTTTTGGCTTTTTCTGTAACATCTTATGGAGAAACCCAAACGAACTTTTGGGCCGACCCCAATATAATAAAATTGATGTAATCGATGTAAAGTCAAGCAGAAATACTTTGTACGTGACAGAATGTCTTCTTAGATACAAAGAGTGACGCACAAGAATATCACAGTGTTGAATGCATCTGACAATTTGGCATATTATTCCTTTTGAGATGTTATCTATTATTAAATAGTATTCTCTATTTCTGATCTGTAATATTTTTCCTTCTTAATTTGTAACCCAGGAGGGGAAAAAAGAAACAAACACAACTGTTTCTTATTTCCTACTCTGTCCATTTAAATGCCCAACTTAGAATTTGGCACAAGGATGGTGCTCAGTAAATGTTGGATGAATGAATGAGTGATGGTAACTATGAAGACATTTGTATTGCATCATTTGTGATGCATCAGCATCCAAAATAATTTGACACCAGATTCCAAATCTCTGGAAGACTTCAAAGCTCTGGAGGACTTTCAGAGAAAACATGGAAATGTTACTAAATTTCTTTGATTTTAACTGTAATATACTTCAATACATGTGTCATAGCCATTTGTATTCACATATTAATTAAAAAATAAAATTTCCCAACTAAATTATTCTAGGAACCACCAATCTCCTTTTATTCATCCTTTGCCATCAGTCCTAATTTCTGCTTCAATTTTCTCACCAATGTTAATGCGATAAAGAAGAAACATTTTCTGGTAAGAATTAACCTGTTTTATAGTCCAAAGGATCACATATTAAATTAAGAACTGGCTCTGCTGTACAAAATATCATCAAAAGAGGTATTCTTACTATGGGGTATTTCTAGATAAATGCCTCATGATAATGACTCTGGACCTGCTTCTGAGAATGGAATGCCCACTTCCTTTCTCCAAAGACTCAGAGAACTGTGAAGCCAAGTGAAGAGACCAGGTCCCCAAGAGGCCACTTTTGGAAACAGTGCAATCTTCTCATCTTCTCACTACTGCTTGTATTGATTTAGCTGGTTATTTCTGGTTTAGAGGACTATTTCATTAGTTTGTTTTTAAGCAAGCAGAATAGCCTTCTGTAAGGCTAAGCTCTTCATCTTCTAAAAGTAAAGATGAAGTTAAAGATGAAAACTCCACTAGTTTTCTATCTGATATTTCCTTTCTTACCTCTTCCAGGCACCACATCCCGTTCAAATATGCATAACTTATACCCAAAATGCTTCTCCAACACACTGGGCAAAATCTCCACAGCAAAGGTGTGCTCCTCTCCGTTCTCGGGCCGACATTCTTTTAGGTAAGACACAAAAGCATCGTACGTTTTCCCATCTAGGAGATAAGGTTGACTCTTTCAATTAGTGTGAAAATAAGGGTTTATTTAAGTACAAATTTGAGCGAAAGTTCTGAAAAATGGGAACAGAATCATTGAAAAAGAAACGTTAAATATCGCATCCTCACCTCTAAATGCATCGAACAGTGCACATTAAATATGTGCAGTTCTTTGTATATTGTTCATACCTCAGTGAAGCTCTTAAATAAAAGAATAAAATATTTTTCATAGAAAACAAATAATTCTATAACTTAATGGCAAATTTAGCTCAAAGCAAAGTGAATTAACTTCGTTTTTTTTATATTAGTGAATTAGAAGTTGTAAATGTGAATAATGAATCTATAAAAACTCAAAGGAAAAATATGAAAATTATTTTATGACTTTGAAGGGTTCAAGACTTCATGGGAGAGGTAACTGTAGCTATGATGGAAACAGCAAGAGAACTAGAATTACAAGTGGAGCCTGAAGATGTGACTTAATTGCACGATGAAACTTTCAACGGATGAGCAAAGAAAATGTTTTCCTGAGATGGAATCTACTCCTGGTGAAGATTGTTGACCTGACAACAAAGGACTCAGAATATTACATAAAGTTAGTTGATAAAGCAGCAGCAGGGTTTGACAGGACTGACTCCAGTTTTGGGAGAAGGTCTACCATGGGAAAAATGCTATCAAACAGCATCCCATGCTACGGAGAAATCATTTGTGAAAGGAAGAGTCAATCAATGCAGCAAACTTCACTGTTGTCTTACTTATAAAAATTCCCACAGCCACTCCAACCTTCAGAGGCCACCACCCTGATCAGTCAGCAGCCATCAACATCGAGGTCAGACCCTCGAAAAAAGACCCAACAAAAAGATTATGACTTCCTGAAGGTTCAAATAATGTCTAGCATTTTTTAGTAACAAAGTATTTTTAAGTTATGGTATATACGTTGTTTTTTAGGTATAATTCTATTTTACACTTGATACACTACCCTATGGTGTAAACATATTTTTTATATGCACTGGGGAACCAAAAAATTCGTGTTACTAACTTCATTGCGATATTAGCTTCATGCAGTGGTCTGAAACTGAACCCGCAGTATCTACAAGGTATGCCTGCATATTAAAGAAGTCTTCCATGTAGCACACCACTATCAAGAAAGTCAAAAGCACACCACTATCAACAACCTGGGAATAATATTTGCATTTTATATTACAGACAATAGGCTAACCTCCCTAAAATGTGAATAGCTGCTAAAAATAAGCAAGCAAGCAAAAAAAAAAAAAAAGTCAACAACCCAGTAGAAGCATGGGCAAAGAATATGAATGGGTACTTTGAGAAAAAGGAAATACAAATGGGTCTTAAACACATGAGAAGTTGCTCATACTTTTGCACAGTAAGCAAAATGCAAGTGAAAACTACACTTCGATACCCCTCAGATTTTATCTATCAGATCAGCAAATATCCGAAAGGTTGTGGGTAAGGCTATGAGAAAAAAATGTACTCCGGTCCTTTGAAGGTGGTAGGCAGTAGAGAAATATGGAGCGCAAATTGGTAAATATCAATCAAAATAACAACTATATCCTCCTCTGCACTCCTAGTAATTCCACTTTAGGGAATTTTTCCTTCAGTTACACTGCACACATGTGAAACAATAACTGTATAAAAGTTATCCACCACATCATTTCTGCAATAACAAAAGGTCTTAAGCAACCCAAATGTCCATCACACGGTGACTAAATAAACAATAATACATCCACAGAAATACAACACTGTGCAACCCTAAAAAATGAGAGATTTTATAAACTAATATGGAAGGGTATCCAAGGTATAGTACAGCAAAGTTCAGAATACGGCACATAGCATGCGAAGATTTGTCTTTTCAACAGGAGTGAAATAAGATTCTCTATTCATATTCGTTTGGATATACTATCAATGTGGGATGGGGTGGGAAACAGGCACGGGACAAGTATACATGTATAATTTCTAAGACTTTTGGTGTCTGAACTACGTATGTCCTACAGACACACACACACACACATGGAAACAAAAGCAAGTGTAATGGATTAGATTTATTTTTTAAAATTTGGTAGCTATTTTGAATCTTGAGGACTTCTAGTCACCTGCAAAAATAGAGAAACTGAGACAGTCACCAGATAGAAGCTGGAGTAGATGAAAAGTGGCAGATCTAGGGGACTGGAACTCAGGTCATTTGGTGTGCACTTCAAGGTTCTTACAAGTACATCATGCAGCCTCCTTTGCCAGGTTAAAATAATGAACGATAATACAGTTCTTTTTTTTCTTTTTTTGGCTTTGCCGTGTGGCACATGGGATCTTTGTTCCCTGACCAGGGATTGAACCCGTGCCCCTGCACTGGAAGCACAAGAGTCTTAACCACTGGACAGCCAGGGCACTCCCAATTCAATTCAATTTAAATGACCTTTATTGAGTGTGAACTTTGTAAAGGCACCAGATGGCGTGCGAGCAATGACATTCAGACACACAGTCCCTGGGCCTAACCATCTCACAGGGCATTCAGAAGGACACTACACACATGCATGAAACAATTAGAGAACAACTTTTGGCAACAGATAAGTAAGCACAAGAAAAAGTGGCCCAGACAACGTTCATAACGGACAGTTCGTTCAGATCCATTTTTCTTATGGAAAACTTCTACCGCCAATATGTCTACAATATAATGAAAATGAGGTGAAGATTAATGTTTATTTATATAGCTTCTTAATAAAACTGTAAAATAAGAAATCCCAGCATGACGACATTCGTTACCTGTTAAGGTTTCATCTCTTCCCAAGAAATGTCTATAAAATAGAACCAAGTCAACTCTATAAATGGCACCCACGGTCACTAGGCATACAATGACCACTGAGATCAAAACAGCTACGATCATTCCTCTAGTGAAGACGTGGCCGGGGATGTCAACCGGGTCTTCTAGAAAGAAAAAGAGAATGGGAAAAACTAGAGAAATTTCACCAGCATCTTTCGCCATCACTCTGTGGTGGTCAGCTTTTACCTTTAACACAAATCTACTTGTCTACCCAACACATTCCATTGAGTTACTCCGCAGTCCTGCCTTTAGTCTCCAGTGGTGACCTCTCTGCTCCATAAAAATGTGTACAAGGGTATTCAGAGACGTGAACTGAAAGCATGACGATGTAGTCTGTCCACACTTTTGGAAGTTGGATCTCTAGGATGATAAGACACTAGGATGAGATTCAGAGGGACCCACACCTAAACCTCAGCTAGCAGCTTGGGAACATATATGGAGGCGCAGAACCTTGAGAGAGCAAGCACTGAGCTGAGTCTGTGTGGGCTCCAGCCTGGCTCCATCATCTACTTTGTACCCTAGGGAAAGTCACTGATGCCCTAACTCTTAGTATTTCATCTGTACACATAATACAGCTATCAAGCTAGTGATATTTTCTCCTTCACTTAAAGGGTTGCTGTTTTGGAGGAGGGTTAAACATTACACATAAGTAGTTGACACAGTGCCTGGCACTCAGCTCTGAGAATTTTTGTATATTTTTATATGAAAGTGTCCTTTGAGAAAAAAATTAAGGTTCCTAGATTGAGTCAGTTAATGCTCATTGTGGACAACATGAGATAACACAGAGGAGTATAAAGGATAGAATAATTATTTAATAACCATCCCACAGTGTGGCAACGGCCACCGCCAACACGCTAGTACATTTCCTTCCAGGTTTTGTTTTTTCCCTGAAAACATTTACTTAGTTGGAACCATCTGGTGATCACTCTTTACTTCTTAACATTATATTAGCAGCATTTCTCTAGGTCTTTAAAATTATAATTCATACTATCTCAGTATTTAGATCGACTGCAATTTTTCATAAATATACATAATGCTGCAATGAACATAGGCATAAACCCTTATCTATGTTTCTGATTATTTTCCTGGAGTAGATTCTAATGGAGGTGGGGTCAAAAAGAGTAAGCATACATACAACTCTTGCCATCGTGACACAATTTTAGGGATTATCTTTCCAGTAAAATTATTTATTAGGATGTAAGTAAGCAACCATCGTTGCTTAGTAAGTGAACTCTGAATAAAGCCAGCCCCTGGGGTTCCTGCATCTCTGAAAGGCTTACATATCTATGACTGTGCCGCACAAATACACATACTCTCACGTTGGCCCACACACTCCTCCAGGGATAATGGTGGAGTCAAAGACCCTATTCCCCACACAACATTTGTGAGCCCAGCAGAAGGAAGAAATGATCAGGGTAGAAACGTCTATGGCAGAGACAGCACAGCCATGCATTGATCTAGGACAGTTTACACAATTACTTCTGAGCAGCTCCTGAGTCTGTGGCCCTCGGTTGGACTGTTTCGGTGGAGGATGCCCTCCATCAGGTGGGCGCTGAAAAACTCTGAGTCCAGTGATCAGAGCTATCAACTAACTGTCCACTTGCCAAGTCCAGGGACTATCCCAAGAGAGGGAAGCCTAAGTTAGTCTTTGTTGAACGAAAGACCACACCCAAGGGCCCCTGTGCCCAGGGCCCAACTAAGGTAGGGTGGAGGCGGCAATCACTCCTGGACCACTGGCCTCATCCTACACAAAGCAGCAAACTTTCCTCCTGTTGTTCAGAGTGTGCCAGAGCTGCCCGGACCACCTCCCCTGTGACTCTCACCCACCAGCATCTCCAACCCTGAGCTCTACCTACCTCCCCGCTCTGGGCCCCTGGTTGCTACACAGGATTGGAATACGTTTGAGAGCAAAAGAATACACTTGAGGTTTTCATTCTCTGCTTGGAATCAGGGCACAGGGGATTGCAGCAAGGGCTGAGCACCAGCTCTGCCACTGAACGCCTGTGACACAGGGCAAACCCTTCACCTCTCAGGAGCTTGGTTCCTGGTGTGTAAGATGAGGAAGTGATGAGTTACGACAGGTCTCTCAGCTGCAACATTCTAGGTTTCCACAAACTGCCAAAGATAAAATTTCTCACACCTTTTTTCAGTAAGATGAAGCTTTTGGTGTCTATGCCTCCCTCGCTGGCTGCAGTGCAATTATATGAAAAGTTTAGATTGTTTTCATTAACATTCTCAATTCTCAGTATTTTTGAAGCAAGCCATTTGCCTTCTGAAGTCCTGTAAGAGAGGAAAATGGTTTAGCAATAGGCTTTGTGTCATTGCCAACAACGTTACTCATGAAAGAGGAATTTGTATGTGCAAATACATCTGCACAAAGACACGGCTCTGTGGACTCCAGGGAATATCCCCTTCTGGTGGGTTCTCTTCAAGTGTGAGCCCCCTGCTCCCCGGGGGTCTCAGCCCTCCTGAGACCATGGCCCAAAGCCATTCAGAGACATTGTAATGGCCATAGGGGGACGGCGCTGCAAACTGCCTAAAATTAAAACGCCTGGGAGGTAACGATGCTCAGTGGAAAACACAAGAAAATATTCTCTCTCTCAATTACAGGCACACTTCATTTTACTGAGTTTTGCTTTATTATGCTTCGCAGATACTGCACTTTTTACAAATTGAATGTTTGTGGCAACAGGGTATCAAGCAAGTCTTTTGGTGCCATTTTCCCAACAGCATTTGCTCAATTTATGTTTCTGTGTCACATTTTGGTAATTCTCAAACTTTCACATTTTTTCATTATCATTATATTTGTTAAGGGGATCTGTGATCAGTGATCTTTGATGTTACTATCATAATGGTTTGGGCATTTATTTTAGCAATAAAGTATTTTTAATTAAGGTATGTACATCATTTTTTAAGATGCAATGCTATTGCACACTTAATAGACTACAGTATAGTGTAAACATAACTTTTATATGCATTGGGAAATCAAAACATTCACGTGACTTGCTTTATTGTGATATTTGCTTTACTGTGGTGGTCTGGAACTGAACCCTCAATATCTCCCAAGTGTGTCTGCGTTTTCCCCCTGTCCTGACTACTCAGCATTCCTCCCACTGTGAAGTCTCCACCAGCTGTGACAATGCCGCGGATCGTTAATACAGACACAGATTCATATCAAGTTTGTCCTAGCAGTCCTAACGACCACTCTTCTTTTGTTCAGCATTTAAAATAAATTAAACCCACTATTCTCAGACACCCCCAAGCACATGAGAAATGCCAATTAAGCTGCTCAGTGAGTGTCCGAAAATGACCGGAGGCCACCAGGAGCGGCCAGCTCTCTTTCTCTACTAAAAGGACTCAAGTCACCCTGTCCCTGATGCAGGGCACGTGCTCTTGGCATCTGCCTCCTGCTAGTGGCAGGCTCTGAAGGTGCACAGTCGGCCAGCACTCCCAGGTGTAGTCGCTCACCCGCCAGGCCCCCCCCACAGCTGGGATGTGGTACCCACTGTAGCCTCTAACTGTCTCAAATGCATCTTAGAAGAGAAGTCATAATTCTGTACAGAAGACACCCACCCAGAAATATCAACCATCTAACATCAATGTAAAATCCACAAAGAAAGTTAAAAAAACCCCACTGAGAAGCCAAAATAGATGACATAAGTTCATGCACCCAGTATAAAGAAAGATTTAGCCTCGCTTAAGTCCTTAGTTTAGCTGAAGCTCCATTTCTAATAAGTTTGGTGAATTGGTCTTCTGTGCCTCCAGAGATTAACAATGGATCGTGAGAAGGAGTAAATGCAGGAATCCGGTGGGGGACAGACACTGAGGACAAGATAAAGTGGCAGGATAGCCACGCAATCCAGCTAAGCCAACACTCCATGAGCACTAATCACGCACCCGGTTCCGGGCGAGGGTATAAAAAAAACCTCACAAGTGCAGCTAAGGTGACAGACACCTTAGGACCACTACTCACTAGAACCTGAGTGTATAGTTACCTTAATAATGACAGTAATGACCCAAAGCCATTCAGAAACATTGTAATGGCCATAGGCTTAGCATGTTTTGTTTTAATAAGTATAACCATTCCTTAATATAGGCTATTTAAACTAGACGGCATTTGGCAATTTTTGCACCAACTCTGCCTCCTAGATATTTATATCTAACCATTGCCCTGTTTGCTTTTTCTAGCTGTTCTTAGTGTGTTTCTAGTTTCCATTAATGGACTCTGACAGGAAAGTGCTGCCATAATTATGATCAGTGGCAATGGACCAACAACGATGTCACAGGGCAGGAGACCAGTCATTTAAATTAGTATTTTCTTGGGTCATCACTTATATCTGACAATCTTTGGGGACCCTTCTGGACTCGAGAAAATTCCTCACTTCTCACCTTTAAGAAAGATAATCCCTGTAAGGAATGTTCTAAAAAGAAGCTCTGAACTATCTCTAAAGAGCAGGAAGCAGTGTCTGTGTCAGCATATCTCACGCCCAGCAAAGAAATCCACCCACCCCACTCGCCCTGCCACACACACAAAGCTATCTTCAGAGAGCTATTTCTCTCTTTGTGATTTCCGGTAATTCTCAAGTATCTTATAATGAATTATTTTCAACAATCAGAACAAAGAAAGCTGTGTGTGTAAGCCAAGTACAGGGCATAGATCTGGACAGGTAGCCACAGATGGATGGCCTGCCTGTGTCCAGGGCTGCCCCCAGGGTCCTCAGGGAAAGGTACTGATGATGTGCTTTGTCACCTATGGATACCCAGTGGGCCCCACGGTGACACGTGGGCAACACAACTAGGCACGCCTACTGCACACAAGGGGCCTGGAATAACTTGTACGTGTCCCAGGCTCCTGACCTGGTCTTTTCTCTGGTACACTAGTAAAAACAAAGGATTTAACACAATTTTCAAACTTCAAATGACAGTGGCCTAGGTAATCACTCTTTTATAAGATGCTTAGGTAAAGTCCCCACCCCCATCACATCCTGACTGACCAAAAGCTACTTCTGTAAGGCAATGCTAAAATGCCTCATTGACCTTCTTTTTCTTTCTTTCTTTCTTTTTTTTTTTTTTTTTGCGGTAC